TACTTGATTATTGATGCAAACACTCAGAAATATAAGCAAACGTCTAACAAAGAGTCTAAAAAGGATGGCTTAGAAACGTTTTTTGCTAAGTTATGTGTTATGTGACACAGCAAGTTCATTTGATTGTTTCTAGTCAACTTCCCTCTTTTTAAATTTTTTTTTTAACACAGATCAGTTTGAATCTTGTCGTATTTTCTTGTCATTTTTTCCCCTTTTTGTAAATATTACAAGTCTCTGTTTGACGTTTCCTTCAGTTTTGACTCACTTCCTGTCATTTGCACCACACAATGATGGCAGCCTTTCAAATAACCCAGCTGTCATTTGTTCACCCAGCTGCTCATCTTCAGGAGGTSCTGCTCCAAGGAGTCGGCCTGTCCTCTGCCAGTTTGTCCAAACCGGCTGCAGACTACGTGTCTGCCTTGGTGGACAACGTCATGGTGCTGGGAGTGAGAGACACATCACTGGCCAGGTACACGGGGGKGTTATTCTACTCCTGTCTGCACTTTAGAACCGATTTATTGAACAAATGTTCACCGATTGCCTGGAGGCTGTGACAAAGCATGGATTTGTTTTCCCTCTAGTTTGATGCCAGCAGTCAACAACCTCACAAGTGAACATCTGAAAGCAGAAAAGTCAAACGAACAACTCGAGMGAGAACTACGGGCGCTCAGAAAGCGGCTTGGTGCAACTCTGATGCTGCGGGGAACCTTACAAGAGTAAGCTCGTAGCTGTAGTAGGCTCTGCTATRTCTCCGTGTGCCATCTGTTTTTTAGTAATAGAACCAAAGGTTTACCCAGTTTACATTTATTGACTGCTCTTCGTTGTCAGAGATATTGAGAAAACGATCAAATTTGAAACGGTGGAGAGCGCCAAAGCAGAGGAGAGGATGCTCAACATGGATTTTGTGACGGCAAAAGCCAGAGAGCTCAGTAACCATCGGGAGAGATCTGAGGTATGTTGTGGTGTTGGACCTGTTTGCTGTTCAGTGGGAGATGTTAAAAGTGTGTTCCAGCTCGAGCTTGGAAAGTTTAACTGAATAAAATGCTTTATCAGCTAGAATTTTACAACTCCATCATATAAAAAAATTGCATGAGTTCGATTAAAAAGAAAACTAGTGCTTAAAGTTAGTCGGCATCTCATCAATTTTTTTCTTTTTTTGCCAGTATACCCTAATAGTTTTGAACCTGTAGTTCTAAACGTCACTTTATTGCTGCCTTTTTTTTTTCTGCTCCGTCAAYGCAGGCTCAACTTGTAGCCAGGAAGATGGACAAGTCTATTACCCACCAGGCCATTGTGCAGCTCTCTGAGGTACTCCAGCCTTTTTGTATCCCATGGAAATAAAAAGCTCACGTCGTCTTCTCTCAGGGTTTGAAATGTGTCATCTTYTTTTTTCCCTCCGCAGGAAGTCGGTGCGCTGAAAAACCAAATAATGCCCCTGAAAAAGAAACTGGAGCCCTACATGGATCTGAGTCCTGTAAGATGCTTTTGTAGTTTGCTCAGTCGTCATTACTTCAAATAAATGAAATAAAAAAAAAACATTGAAAATGTCTCATCACATTTCCTGTGAAAGAATAAGTTATTACTTATTTGTTTATGAATTTGGTTGAGTTCTAAAATGTTATTTTTTCCCCCTCTGACTCGTCACAGAGCCCATCTCTGGCAGTAGTGAAAATAGAAGAAGCAAAAAGAGAACTTGTGAGTAAACAACTGACTTGATGAGGTTTCTCATTTTCCATTCTTTGTTTTTTTTATTTCATTTTCCGTTCTAATTTGTTTTTCTTTTCTTGATTACAGGCGGCACTTGATTCCCAACTTGAAAAAAATACGGATTTTAAATGAAGACTTTTTTTTCTGATATCGTGCTTGTTTTTGAAAATACACAAATAAAGTCTTTGTTCTTTTGTAATTGTTTTTTTCTTATGTTGGTGGTAGACTTGGATACATAGTTTAGAAAAGCACTCTGTTTGCTACAAACAAATGTTTACTTTGTTTATAATTTAAGGCCTAGAATTATTTAAAGAAGTTCATATCTGCTGCCTTCATCTTATCTTTGTCAAATCTTGTAATTGATGTTATTCAAGATTTGTGACTCTGTTAAAGACTCAGGTACCACCATGTAAAAAATTAATTACAATATGTGTAAAATTGACTAAGGTATAGTAACGTTTGTGTTTATTAAGGTCAGCTGATGGTGGCCATCTTGAATTAGACTGACTCCAAAATTTAATGAGTTGGGAGTGATTACTCTCAAAGTTTAAATCAAATTCATTCAGTGGTTCATTTTTTGGTATATTTCAAATGTTATTTATAACATTTTAGAAAACATTAATAAATCTGTAAATACTCGTGTTTTTATTTACTTTGAAGCAATGAAAAGCAACTGGTCTGCCTGCATTTGGCCTGATCTGGAGTCTGACATGATGGCAAGTCCTGTTACCATGGATGGGGGGTCACGGATGTAGGCTGGGGAGCAGTTTTCCCTGAGGAAAGGAACCACGTGGTTAAAAGGGTATCAATAGTTTATAAACAGAAACTGAATCAGAATAGCCATTTTCACCCTAAAGGGTTGTGTTTGCTGCTTGTAAAAAGCAAAAAATCTGTTCATTTTAGGGCCACAAAAAGAAAAAACATCAGTCAAATGCAAGATAAAGCACTCTCCAAGTGTTATAATCAGGTGTGGCAATAAGAAACCATATTATTGGGTGCAGCATGTGAATTCATGAAACCTGGAAAGACAGACAGATAAAGTTGTAGGAGGGGCCATTGCACACGCCCCTGCCTCTCATTGGTGGCGCCTTTTACACAGAGAAATTACATTTTTAAAAATATTATTTACATTTATTAAAAGTAGCTAAAACTGTTGCTCAGATTGAAGAAAAAAACAAAGGGATCTATATCCACAAATCCTCAAATCCAGTCAACGTGGAAAGAAAATCCAAATCGTTTGAGAAATAATCTGCAGGTTATGTTTAGAGAAAAGGAAGAGAAATACAGTAAGAGATTAAAACGATGAAATCCGAGGGATCAACCTCAGGGAGGAGGGAGGAACAACAGGCCCTGGTGCGTCACAGCAGCAGCAGCGCGCGTTTGTTTTCTCCTTCGCATAGTTTGATGCGCCACTCCCACTCCACGAGTCCCCCCTCAGCTGTTCCCACATGGATCCACTCACAGGTCCGCGCTGTTAGCAGAGGAACAGTCCGGCTGGAGGACTGAGACTCGGACTGATTTCTCCTGGTCCGTTTTTTGGAGCAACTTGTTGCGCAGCTGCTGTTTCAACCCGCAGCCGCAGATCCGAGCCTCAACAACCGACTGGAGGCATTTTTCTGTGCCTGGAGGGCGAGGAGGAGAACAGCTGTGGTTCTACCAGGGAGCACGTTTCCGGTGTACTCCCTCCCTCCCACGCACCCTCTTCTTGTTTTGGGTTGTAGTAGTATTTCCCCCCTCAGCCTAACTAATATGATTAAAGGGACAGGGGATGCGAGTCACGAGCTGGACGCGTCCTTTCCACGGACTGGACTGGAACCACAGCCTCTTCTGTCTCACTTTGCTCCTGTGGACCAGGGGCATGAACGGACTGGCTGACTTTTCAAGTAAGATGATGATGAAGGTGTTATAAACTGTGGGATCAATAAAGTTCTTATCTTATCTTATCTTATCTTATCTTATCTTATCTTATCTTACCTTATCTTACCTTAATCTTAATTTATCTTATCTTTGCCTTAACCCTATCTTATCTTATCTTATCTTATCTTATCTTATCTTATCTTATTCTTACAGTAATCTTATTTTATTTTATTTTATAATTACCTTACCTTAATCTTAATTTATCTTATCTTTACCCCCTTAATCCTATCTTATCTTATCTTATCTTATCTTATCTTATCTTATCTTATCTTAT